GTCTCTGGTTCGAATCCGTGTTCGGGCATGGATATTTGTAAATGTATAGTGGGTTGGGTTGATAGAGCAGCCTTGGCTGAAACCCCGCTCACTCTAAAAGAAAAGCCTAAAATTAAAAAAAAAATATTTTTGATATCTACGCTAGTTTCCGCAATAATCGACTGTCTCAAGATAAATGGACCACCCTGTATATACATTCGAATGATAAGGGGGAAATGACCTGGTAAACGCCAGAACCAAAGGTTCACTCACCCAAACAGGGAGAGTCTCAAAATATCGACATGCACCTCAACTTATTAAAGGGTCTTTAACCACATTACATTTTATTACTTGAAAATATGTTCCTATTAAATTCCTGGGGTAGGAGAAGAAAAGGAAGTTACCAATATTGTAAAAAAAATTGTATGATATTTCAACCAAAACGATGAGGGACCCAATCCTAGTAGGTATACGTCCAATTATTGTAAAGACAAATCTCTTCCTTACGACACAAACGTACAGTAAAGTACCACAACGTGGCATAGACAGCTATACATAAAGATAAAGAACCACAAAGTGGCATATTATGATATGTTTACGGACTTTACACCAAGGGATCTATTAAGGGGATGCAGTTGCGGTGGGGTGGGCATTTGATTAGTCGCCTCGTACGACACGCAGTGCCATCTGCGGTAGGGCTATTCTTTCCCGCCCCTACACGGGGAACATACAGGGTGTCTACTATGTATGGAATATAGTATAAATCTAAAATTTGTTTATATATAAACGTTGTTGAAAATTTTTTTTCCATATAAGGCAGCATTCAGTTGTTTTTACATGTATTTCAGAAAACAAATGAGTAACGAAAATCAATTGAATTTTTTTTTAATAGGAACATACCATTTAAATAGGCTTATTTAATAGAGATAAGTGATTTAGAGGACAAAAAAGGAAAAATAATGACGCGTCACACTCTGTACTTTTACATAAATTAACAAGAAACATTTTAAAATCAAATCATTTCTCAACAAAACCTCCACGGGTAACTAGATCTTGCTGAATCAACATGGCCGTGATGGCTTCAAATGTATTTTTTTGTCCGCTATCGTATTCCGTAAAAATCCAATATGGCGTCTATACGAAATACGCAAGTAGTAACTGGTAGCTTCTAAATCCAGCGCCTTATGGAAAATAGGGGGTCGGAGGAGGGGGTGGAACTGTTTTTATCCTTTCTACCAACCATAATCTTCCTCCTCGAGCTCGACCCCTTTTCATCGCAATCGGATATAATTCCCTACGTCCCTACAGCAGATTGTCGGAGGCAGGGCCGGACTGGCCCAGGCCGCTAGGCCGCCTAAGCGGCCGGGGCCCCGCGCTAGCGGGGCCCTGGACGGGGCCCTCGTGGAACTGCGAAGCGGAGCCCCCGTCGGGGGGCCCCGCTAAGCGCTAACCTAGCTAACCCGAGGCTCCGCCATGTGGGGGCCTTTTGGTCATGGAGCACCCGGGGCCCTTACCCACCCAGTCCGGTCCTGGTCGGAGGGTACGATTGCGACGTCTGGAAGAAATACATCCATTGATGATATCAAAACTTAAAGAGCGAATGGTTTGTCGGGGGAGAACTCACAAAGGCAAAATTAATCATCTGGACGAGGACGAGACATATCTATTGGTGAAGTCAGAGTGAAAACAAAGAGTTGGAAAAGAGCTAGCGGAACGTCTGGACGAGACACATTTACTGGTGATGTCAAAAGTTTCAGTGCAAATATCGGCAGAACAGAACAGACGGACTCTCAAACTGCGGAAAGATCGTCTAGAGGAGACGCATTTACTGGCGATGTGAAAACTTAAGTGTGAATATTTTGAAAATGGAAGGTACCTACAAAGGGAAAATGCAATATTTTGGCGAAGGGCTTGATTCTTCTTGCATTATACAGGGTGCGTTCCTGCATCTCGTCCTGGATATGAATTAAATACGGAAGGGGGCGTATTCAAACACAAGATCTTAAAATCACTAAATATAGAAAGTACCGCAATCCATTGGGCTCGTGTGTTAGAGAGAGAGAGAGAGCGCATGATTTTTATCCAAAAATGGCGGAAGTTACCAGATTCTAGTAACTGTAATGTTAGGGATTGTTCCACCTGTTTGGAGATATCTGTATATATTTTTATAAAACATGACAGTACTATGAAGTTAGGTTATAAAAAATGACAGCTAATCAGATTTTATTTGTCAATTTTTTTTGACAGCAAATTTGCTCAAAAATGGCGGATGATTGCGGTACTTTCTATATCTAGTGACTTTACAAGATCTAATTTTCAATGCCAACTGTCAAAATAAAAACAAGATTAAAATAAAGCCAGGGCCTACTGAACCATTTTAAAAAGTATTTCATTTAGCGAACTAGCGAAAATTGATTTTTATTGCAGGTCTGTGTGGCGCAGTTGAGTCGAAACTCGGCTGCGGTACTAAGGGTCCCTGATTCGAATCCCGGTTCGGACATGGATACAGGCGGTCTCTAAATATGTATTGCCATTGAATAAAGATTCAGATTCTTTATTCAATGGTATTGGTGTGTAATTTCGCTAAAAACCCGGCACAAAATAGTACTCCATTTTTTGGGTACCGAGAGACCGCGATTAGAGCTCTAAGAAACTTTTGGGCGCCCAAATTGGTCTACCCCTCGAAGACAAAAGGTGGTTAATTGCGCCCCTAGGGGAAAAAACAAAAAGTTGTGCGCGTCGTGTAGGAATTTTGTTTTTTCCTAGGCACGAAATTAACCACCTTTTGTAAGTCGCATGTCTTCGAGGGGTAGTCGACTTCGGGCTCCCAAAAGGTATCTTCCGCTGAAATTTTGTACGCGGGTTAAAGTTTCTTAAAGCTCGAATCGCGGTCTCTCTTTCTCGTGCGTCGCTCGAGCTATGAGAAGTGCCCCAAAAATTGAGTATTATACTATTTTGTGAAGGATTTTTAGCGAAATCTAGCAAAATGAAAATTGCAGGTGAACAGAACGTTTGTAGTGACTACCGACAAAGATAATGTGGTAACCTTGGACAAAATCTTATTGATGGTTGAGTCAAAACTGGCTAATAGCAGCCCAGGATGGGGGGGGGGGGGCCTTTGGGGGCTACAGCCTAAGTCTAAGGATGTACGATTTATGAGTTATACAGATTTTGTCTCTCCTTTTTTTAAAGCGGTTTTCTAGTATGTCATGTCTGTTTTGCTATTCTGAAAAATCTGTAGGTATTCGTATCCGATAAGCTTAACCTTTACTTTAGGATTAGTTGGTATATAATTATGTATCAGGGTATGTATTGTTAAGTGTGACATCAATTCCTTTTAAACAGCATTCCCGAAATTAATGCGAATGACAGCGAATGCTTAGACTGGATTGTAGACAAACACATTCTTAATATTTTAAGTCAGTTGGATTGGATTACGCATTTCACTTTGCATAGCATAGGTACATTTTCGACAATAAAAATTAATATCGTTAAATTTGGCGTTTGTTGAAATTATAACCTATTTTGTATAGGAATAGGGCCCCTCTAATATGTATAGCCCCTGGCCTACAGAAACGTTAATCCGGCCCTGGCTAATAGAATACTGATCTGCCACACAAAAATGTGCTGAAGTGTCTTCGATCTCACATGGGGACTTTATTTTTACAAATAAATTTGCCAAAATGCGCTAAAAACGCCTTTAACAGTCTTGACATCCTTTATGTCTAATTTCTGGCTATTTCGATCACCGTTTTTGGGACATGTCAAAATTTCATCAAATCTCGAAGTCAACTTTTAAAAAATACCTTTTTTTCCATCTGTATGTATGTAGGTACGTACAGTTCGACGGATTTTATTCAAATTCTGAAATGTGTATTAGGCATACGGAAACGGAAAATAACGGGCTGGATTTTTGGAAAAAATTTTTGGAGCGCCGCAGCGGCACCGAACTTTTTTTTCTCACGTACAAAGTGTTTATTAAATTATTCGAAAGACTTTCTTTTTCTGCGTACAACCTACAAAAATTATGCTTCAAACAGGCAATTTTGGTAAACCTTTAACCCTTAACTGAAATTTATTCAAAGGCAAACAGGTAATTATACAAGGACACTACCAAGTGAACTATCTTAACTGCTTTGTTTATTTCTCTTTATCTGTGAGTAAATCATGTAATTGCAACATTAAGTTAGTAATTTTTACTGATACATAACATTTCACTTTAAAAATATACATACGGAATGTCAATTCTTTTTTCAAGAGCGCATTTCCGTACAGACCCCACAAAATAAACTGCTAAAAGTAAATACAAATACAATCCAAAATGAGGGAACGGGAACAGGATCCCCTATCATGGGGTGAGATTTACAAAAATCTTATTTAGAACAATTTCTGAAATAGTAATCGTCATGACTGGTGTCATAGAGTAAAATGCTGGAGTATGGAAGCTTTGCAAGCGATTAATGGGTTCAATTGTTACAACACTCTCGTATGAAACCCAGGAAAAACTAAAACAAAAACCACCTAAAGTGCAACTAGACCACTCAAAGAAACCCAAACATATTCATCCCGCCGATATTACCAATCGTTACAAAACTAAGATACCTACTGCAATTATTGAACTGTGCATAAATGACAATTTATGTTATTAAACTGACTTCAATTATGAAATTGGGTGACATAAATGACAAATAAATAACAAACTATCGATTACCAAACCAATACTAATTATTAATTAAAAATAGGACTGATAGGGACCTTTAATAAGGCACCGGACATTGCTTGATTTTCACATACATCCCATATACCGCCTACTCCTCAACGGCATCTTTGTATCTTATACAAGAAAAACAGAAAATAAGGATAGGTACCTACTCAAAACTTGCACGCAAGCGATTTCTGAATCAAAACATTCATTACATTACATTCTTAATTTGCAAAAAAACAATTATGTAATAACCGCAAAGCTAAGCAGAAAATAGTATAAATACCAAACGCATCAGTACAAGAACGTAGATACCAAAATGGCGTTTAAGTTGTCGTTACTAATCGTTGCTTCATTTCAAATTGTCACAATACATTCGGTACAGTTTGTAATACAAAACAATATTCCAGGACCAATCGAGGTCGGAATTCAAGGCAATGCCGGTCATCCTCACCTTCACAATGGAGGCTTTCCTTTAAATCCCGGACAAGAGGTGAGTAAAAATTGTCTGTCATTCATACTATAAGATCGCATCTTTAGATCACCATAGACGCACCGAACGAGTGGGCCGGAAGGTTTTGGGCGAAGACGTGGTGCGTTAACGGACATTGCCAAACTGGCGATTGTGGAGGTAGGGTGGAATGTGCGGGTGCAGGTGGTGTTCCTCCGGTAACTTTAGTCGAAATTACCCTGCGCGGAGCAGGAAATCAAGATTTTTACGACGTTTCCCTAGTCGACGGTTTCAATGTCCTAGCCTCGGTCAGTATTGTACCTCTCGCTTGTACTTTTGCTAATTATTCGTTTTGTAGATTACACCTGAGAACGGTCAAGGCAAATGTGAAAGCGTGTGGTGCAGCTTTAACCTTAATCAGGGATGTCCTAACGATTTGAAGAAGATCGGAGGTAACGGAAATGACGTAGTTGGTTGCTATTCTTCCTGTTTGAAGTACAACACCGATCAGTTCTGCTGCCGAGGAACTTTTAACAATCCACAAACGTGCAAACCCGAAAATATGCCTCAACCGAACTCGGCCGGTTATTTCAAGCATTTTTGTCCACGATACTACAGCTACGCCTACGATGACCCTACGAGTACGTTTACATGCTTAGCGAACCGCTACAGGATATCATTTCATTAGTGTCTGATTTGAATAAAATTAATGCCAATATCTATTCTTTACTTTCCTTATAGAAGATGTTCCTTTTGGTTTTTCATAATGGTTCGGCCAGCGTAAAAGGGCGGGGAACCTTAATGTTCGTCTACCACGACCTACTTAGCAGATTTTCTGCTGTGATTTCAAACACTGGGTAGTATTGAAGGGCAGAATTCAGTATTTTTTCATCAAAAGTGAATGAATTTGGACCCTCCGTTGGTTGGCTCTACCACGACATTTTTTAATTACCGCCTAATTTGGGTTTTTTCATGATAATGATTGTTTTCGGTTGTGGAAATTATTTACTTTTTGTTTCCGCCTAATTTGTTGGGCGCTGGGAACAAAAAATAAGGTAGTAGTCGCAGAACTACCATGAGAAAAGGGGAGCGAAATTATGAGGGATAACTGAAAGTTGCAGGGGAGCGAGATACACACAGATGACGAGTTGGCATATGAAGGAAGAAGAATGCAGAGAGAAATTAGAGAGGTTCCAGTGAGTGAAAGGGGAAAGAGAAAAAAAGTAAGAGAAGGATACAAGAAATTAATTGTATAAAATGAACGGGAGAAGAAGTGGGAGGGAGAGGGAGGAAGGGAAGATAGAGGGAGAGGGAGGGAAAGATACAGAATTGAACAACCGTAGAAAAAAGAAAAACGAAATTAAAATGGAGAACATGAAAATGAGTTTGTAACATGATATGATCGCGGGAATGGTACATATAATCATTGATAAAAGAATTGGGAGAAATAAAAAACAGGATACCAATGCATACAGGAAAGACGAATGGAATTTGAGGGGAAGAAAATGAGAGTGATAACTATACACTATACAACAGAAAAGGAATCCAAGAATAATTTTGATATGAAACAGAGGAGGAAGAGGGGCTAATGTTGGGGGGTAGGGGGGGATATCTAATTGCCAAAACAGAGAATAAAGGAAAATCGGTAGAGATGGGAAGAGGAACACAAAACAAAAAAATCATGACATAAAGAGTGCAACAAAGAGGGAGAAGTATTACTGGACTTCTCATGAAAGATGAGGGGTTGAAGAATTTTAAACGGAAATATGGGAGGAGATAGGGACAATCAATACTCATACATTGGAGGAAGCGGGAGGTCGTTAATTGATTACGTACTAGTAAATGAGAAATACTGGAAGAAATTATTGATATTTATGGTAGGAACACCAACCGATGGAAATGAGTCTAAAAGGGAAGATAAGTTCAAGAAATGGAAAGAGGCAAACACGAAGGGGGAGACAGTAATTGACAAGAGACTGTGTGGAGATTGGAGGAACAAGAAGAAGAATAGGAGGGAGTACTGAGGAGTGGAAAAATATAAAGGAGAGTATTAAAAAGGCAATATCGAGGAGGGAACCAAATGGTGGAACAGAGAGTGTACGGAAGAAAGAAACCGGTATGAAGAATGAAAAAAAGGAGAAATAGACGAAAGAGAGTTGAGGAAACGGAAAAAGTACAAAAGAAAACGTACAGAAAAAAATGGAGAAATATGAATAGAGGATTGGAAGCGGATTGGAAGTGAGAATGTGCATTGAGACCACATATTAAGAGGAGGATTGGGCAGCAAAAAAAAAGAAAGCGGCAGAGAGGGATGCACTAGGAAATGAGGTTTGGATTTTCGCCACAGACAGTATCATAGAAAAGATGAAGAAACTATTAAACAAGAGGAGGAAAAGGGAGATATATAGAAATAGGGGGAGGAAAGAGTAGAGAAAGTGAGAGAATTTAAATGTTTAGGATACCACATGCAACGAAATAATGGGGCAAATGAAAATGATATTTGTTATGAAAGCCGGCGCATTGAAGTTTATTGACGTTTTTTCAAAAAGTGATTTTTGGTATTTATATTTTGATAAACATAGGGAGATTTACACATGTACCGCTTTCTAGCGAACAGAAACAAAAGTATGTCTGGAAATAAAAGGCGATAACAACGCGTGTACTTTCAATAAAAGGTGAAGGGATTTTAGAAGACAGACAAGGTTGACCTTTAAAAGAGTAAGTACATACTTCTTGAGTGCGAAAAAAAGTGATCATTCCCCGTATTAACGAAAAATGCAATTGTTAATAATTTTAGAGCCGCCAGCCAGACAAGCTAATTTCTCGTGCAGTTACTTGCTATCTCAGACGTGCAAATTGCCAACCAAGAACATCTTTGCGTTTTTATTTTTATCGATTGCGTAATAAAGAACACGTCGTTAAAAAACGCTTTGTAAATAGATCGGTGACAAAGTGCGAGTTACCTATAGACTCAATTTTACATTTTAAAAAATTGAAAGTTCATTCATTTACGAGTGCTACAATTCACGCGAGGGAACATTTTCTAATTGGAGGCACGCTCTTCACATAGAAACGGAATTTATAATGTAATGAATTTAAAAACTCGCGGTGATTAAGGTTTTTCTTCGTTCGCATCATTCGGCAGTAAACTTAAAGACAATTAATTGGTGCATTTACTCACCCTAAAAAGCTTAGCTAATTGAGAAACATTTAATATCAACACAAAGGAACCTTGGCCTTTTATTGAAGTGCATAATAATAATAATGGCGTATTATTTTCGCGACATTTTAGCTGGTTTGTTGGAGTTCGCAGTACGTATGGACATTTTTGCTTGGCATTCACCACGAAATTAACGTTACCAGTACCATTGCAGCGGTTTATTCATCTTTAAGCACAGTATTAATTCCCTAAACCATCAGTACCTCACGAGAAATAAAATAAATTATGGAATACCTGAATACCACCTGTCATTGTTTAAAAGGGGCACCTACTACAATTCAATCAAATTCTTTAACCATCTCCCAGAAAGTATTAAACTGATTAGAGATATTAACGGATTTAAAAGAAGGTTAAAACAATTTTTAATAAACATGGAACCCTATTCCATTAACGAATAGTAGGTAAATGTAATACATTAGGACGTATTTCTTCTTATGCATTGAAAAGACTTCATTTGTATATAGTAACAAATAAAGAAGTATTATGGTCGGTGTTTCTTGTGAGAACTCAGGTCTAGCCTGGTTAACTAATCGCACGGATTAAAATCAAGTAACGATTACACACGTACATTGGACATCTAGGGATAATGTAATTCGTACTTACCAACATACCTATTGATGGGCACAATAGCCAACGCTATCAGGAACGACGGTTATTATTATTATTATTACTATTTCCATATTTTTTTAAAGGAGCGGCATTTTTCCGGAGAGTGTAACAGTTTAAAATAGTATTAACCTTTGTAGTCATATTTCTATTTCCATTACCCTGTATTACATGTTCGCGCATCGTTGAATGCAACCAATATGTTAATTCTCTAGTTACTTTTATATTTTTGTGTTGCCTGCCCGTTTTAGTTTCTCGATCTACCGATCAATGACGTCAGTTTACTGTAATTCGATACCTTGCTGTCATTGGTTTTCAATTCGTTTCCTGTATCGATAAGCATTAGATATTACCATTTATGGTATTGACATATCCATCGGCTCTCGTGGTTGGTTGGAATTATTCGTCGTCGGTTGCATCGTGACCGGAAACAAGAAAGTTAGCGTCTTTTTTTCTCGCCACCTGCTTTAGAGAGACGGTCGATTTGTGATCCCGAGTTGGGGGTGCTTGTTATATCTTCCAGTGGTTGATTTTGGATCAAACACCCTTGCGAAAGCACCTTTTAACCAAGTCAACCCAAATTAATGTTTGCACCAAGCAGTTTCGTTTTAATGCCTGGGGACAAACTTCCGTAAGGAATTTTTTTGTACTGGAGGAATTTCAAGCCACCTTAATCGGGGAATCCATCGTATTTATGGTATAAGAAGGCTACCTTACTTTAACGAAGTTCTTTTTTTGTGTACTCTCTGCTTTAACAGAGTCCTTGTAAGGAGTCAAAGTCCAACGATTCCGTAGCTTCTACTTAAGCGAAACACATCTACGTTAAACGACAACATGCAGGAGTTCCGTGTACTGTAAAATCTGCCATTGAAACGTTACTATCTCTAAGGCGCAGCCAAACAGATACTGCGGACACCAACCCTTTTGACACCTGTTGCGGTACATAGAAAACCGTTAGCCGTTTACACGTACACCAGGAATCTTAGGAACCAGAGACCTACCTATCGTAGTGGTGATATCTTATTATTGTTTAAACTACTTATTGCCTTTGTGTATTTGCATTTCGTTTAACCCATACTTATGTGGTAAATGTTAACTGGCCGAACACTAGAGCCACCCATATTACTCTTAATTAGTACGCTTGAACTTGAAAGGGAATAATTTGCGTTAATTAACTGCATTTACTCATGTGAAGTAAATCACCTGTGAAGTACAGAGCCAGAGCTCTATACTATGATTTAAACTTCGATACCCTACAAGCTACCAATCAAAGTATTCAATCCACTGTCAATTTAACCCATTAAACTCAATCACTGTGCAACGGTAGTGGGTGTTCTATACCTACTTTCAGGATTTTTGGTGTGAACTAGTTTCAGCTACTAAATTTATGTAATATTTCATTGGTGGAATTTTATGTAAACCTTGGAATTTGGGATAATTTATTATTTCAACACTTATACTTGGGGTTGTTTAGTTTTTACATAACGTGTTTATTATACTTTATTGATTTTTGATTCCCATTTGGGGAACATAACTTTTGTGTTGGTGTTACGTATGCAGGTGCAATTGCACCCAATAAACATTTTTTTTGTGGGTTATCAGTTGCCTACCCAGTTGCACCCAATAAACATTTTTTTTGTGGGTTATCAGTTGCCTACTTTAAAGCTAAAGCTACCTTTCCTAGTTCCGGTAGTGGCAAGCGAAACTTAACTTGGAATTAGGTGGCGCCCATAGAGATTTTAATTGAAGCGACCAAAAGTAAGTACTGACGACCTAGGCTGGATCGAGGAGTTATAAGTGCCAATTACCAATTGAGTTAATTCTGTTACCCACAACCCTGTACATTAGTCTTTCTCTCTCCGCTGTTTGCTATTTGG